GAGTTTATTCATTACGTGTGATCAGGTGATTGGTTTACCTAATCACGTGATAAGGTGCCCCCGTTAACTACCCCGTTAAACATTATGGGAATTGTCAAGGGTGCCCAATTAAGGTGTCGTGTCACGGTGTCACATAATCACCCAGTCAATATTGTTAACGAGATACAGAAAATGCTTGATAACTTCGTCATTTCTAATCCGTTTTGCCTCATGTTTTCAGATCATATGCAACATTTGATAATCTACCGTCTCTGAAAAAATTAGGCGTTCAGCATGTTCAGAGAAAACAATATAGGTGTTTAAATATTGAATGGGCGTGGTCTAAAATATTCGAATTTTCAAATTTTGACGACGGAATCCTCGAACCAGTAAGTACAGTATGCCATTCGCAAAGCAACAGCTCTCAAATATAAAACACGGCGGAGCTATTAAGGCCAACGTATGGGTACTGACTTTTGGCCCACCCTGTAGTATACGGTCTATAACTAAACCCACTGTACGTGTAAAAATAGTTAACGTTAGTACTACACTGTTAACATTAGTGTCTGGAGTTGTTAAATCATTTAGTCTACTAGTGATGTATTGGTTTTGTATATTAGAGCTTTAGCCACAGGTAGGTTGGTCTGCACGGAGCCCCACAGTTTCAATTCCTTGTTTGACTAGCCGTACAGCAAGGATATCCACTGTGCTCACCAGGTTAGGCACATAACCAACACTACCCTGCTAAAGTTAGCTATATACTATGGTTTTCTCGAAAGTATTTCCTTGTATTTGACTTTCGTCAAGAAAGTACTCTTACTTTCGGTTAAGATGTTATATAAGCTAGCCTTTAAGTGGTCCGCAGGGCGGAGGAACCGCCACACACTTCTCACCCAGCTACAAATACAATGTATTGGTTTTGTAGTATAAGTATATAATGTGTGTATTGCTACTGCTGTGTACTACTTTTACCAATACTGCTACTATATGGTACGTCTACTTCGATAGTAGTGTTAGATACAATTTGCATCAAATATCACTATTTTCTAGGGGTTTCTGCACTTGAAAATCAAAATGTACTTTAAAAAACGGGTAATTTTCAGCTGCATTTAAAACAAAAATTTAGTTTATTCCACAATTTGGTACAGTATAGCTCTACAACTACTCAGTAACTACCTCAGTAACACAGAAGCCGGGTCAGAGACTAATTAATTAGTAAATATACCAATAAAAGTGGATTATTATTTAAATACAGTGACTGATGAACAAATCGTTTACCGTTTTTCAGGGCAGTTTTATGATTGCATTCCTTTCATATCATGAGCAAAGTTTTTAAAAAGTTGGATTTAAAAATTTCAAATCAACTTGAGGCTAACGAATGCTGCTAGGTGAAACGTAAGTAATGTTTCCAGTTGAAAACATTTCGACGGCGCAAAGTTGACAAAGATAACCGTTAAAACTTGCCATCTCGATTTTTCTTCAGCAGAGAAATATAACAATCGAACACAGTTGAATTGATGACAAATCTTACGATATTCTACTCTTAAACACTTGTTTAAAAAGGCGTAACAAAACACGAAATCATAACAACAAGCTTATACTTATAGTTATTTATAGAATAAGAGTGAGTAATTACGAGATAACAGAAGCAGGACTGGTAACAAAATAATTGTTCAGCTTGGTATTGAACGGTTAAATCTTCAGCATAGTTAAATTGTAACCGAGCTGAAAATTTAAGTGATCACAATAACTGACAATCTAAACAAAGTAACATCAGTCAAAGTTGTAGGAACCGGAAAATTGTGAGGCCAAAAGTCTATCTAAATTAATGGAATCTCAAGCAAGAATGTTATGGTACCTACTCCACCAATGAGGTGAAACAATGAAAACATTGGAGAGAGTAATAAAGAAACAATCGGGACCGCACCTGCAATCGGCGCGCAGTCAATTCCTTAGTGAACTATTAAACTAGCTACAAATCAGTACATTATCAAGATGAAAGACCTAGAGGATGGTCAAACGAAGCTTTTAAAGGTGAAAATATGATTCAATTTCTCACTAAAATAGCTCTTATTGTGCGTCATCGAGCCGGCTGAACCGGGAAAATGTGTCAGTAGCTGCACGGTGGAGGAAATACAGCGGATAAAAACAATTTAAACAAAATCACGCCTACCGGCGCATAAAACGGCACATTACCACAAAACAGAGAATCAATTATGCCAAATACTCTTCAAACTAGGGGAAAACAATCACTGTCTCACTCTGATCTGAACAATAGAAGTGGAAATATATCACAAAATCAAGCGATCGTCTGGCGAGAGATTCTGTAGGACGTGTGGGGTACGTGTTTAGTGGTTACTATTATAATACAGTCACCCATCACTTGAATTGCTAGTGTGCGGGAATTTTAACTGAAACTTCCAAACTGAAACCTGAAACTGAAACTGAAACTGAAACTGAAACTGAAACTGAAACTGAAACTGAAACTGAAACCTGCCTCGTCTCGTTTGTATCACTGATAGTGATTGGGCGCTAACTTATCACGTGATGCGATTAAGAGCTCATTATTTGACAGTTAACCGAGTATTCAACTATTTTAACTTATTCTCCCTCCAACACAATAACCAGAAGTACAAGGTTGATTTACGGTGGAATTTGAGGCACAAACTACAGAATTATTTTTGAAAATTAAAGAAGCGCAGGGGAATTCTGCGATTAAGATTAATTAGGAATGCAAATTACTTGGGATTAAATTTCATGTGTAACTATATCTACGCGGCTATGTACGAAAGAAATGCCACAATTTTATTGCTGATCCTCCGAAATTAATTCAACATAAAACATTTCACTGCAACCCAAAAAAGAATTCAAGATATTTAAAACATCCGACCCGAGGCATAGAACATAGCAGACAGCACAAAGCAGCCCCATCACATCTAACCTGGAGCATCTAGATACAAGATAAATATCAATTATATTGAAAGATTGCAGCATACCAGTATCTAAGTTATGATGATGAAGTGTAATTTATCAATTATCCACTGCTCGACTACCATGCCAACAACCACTCTGCCTGTCTGCCAAGTCACAACACATATAAAATCACGTACTGACTCCGCACAAAAAGATAATGAACTAGTTACCATAGTTACATTACTAGTATATCATGTGCGGGGTACTCATTAACCGTTGTGGAGAAATAAAGGAAAAAAAGCGGGGAAATCAGGGAAAAATCGGACTTTTTTAAGATCAAACATTCATGAATAAACTGGTTGAGTTGATACTGGTTTAGTGAATAATGACTACTGGGCTTTCTGGCTTTGTTCCATTTCTTATGATATTTGGTTTTACCATCACATTATCAACCATCAGACGGAATGAACAGTTGTCATGGTAACTGAGTAACTAGGAAATTGGTGACCACGTGACCGATAAACGCATTCTATAATTAATAATAAACGGTAAGTAGAGGATAAATATCAAGCTATATTAGGAGTACTAACCATAAGCACGAGCATGACAAATTAATGCAGGATAAAACACCGTTAACTCCTTCACAAGAAAACCATTCTAATACCTCTAGCTTATTGGAAATTAGCCGAATTAAAACCAAAAGAGGTGTTCCAGATTAAATAAGCTGATTTCAAAGTGTTGCCGACAGCCACATATTTTATTAAAACCATGATAATTCTCCATTTAATACTAGAAAAGTAAAGAAAGTTCCTGCGAAGTATGGATTTTACGGTCGAGATTGTTGTTCAGTAATTTAAAGTTTACACTTTACAATTATCTTTAAAAGATTTCACGGAAAATCAATCACCAGGCCGAGTGAGGTCACCCTGTACAGACAACATAAACATTTAAATAAAGTTATAATCCGTATAGTATGCAAAAGGGATTTGTAAGGAAAAGCGAGTAACAGAACATAAAATGTATCAGGTTCCATGAAAGTGGCTCGTCATTGGGAAATGCAAACTCATACATTCCGATCATTTAAGGGGCTTTACACTCGGAAACAGCCGTTTGGGGGCCTTGGTGTTTTGCAATGATTTTTTGGACCTTTGCCAGATAAATATATAACTGTTGGACGTTATTGAAACCCCTTCAGGGCACCACTTTTGCCAAATAAACTGTTGGATTGGTGCCATATCAACTGATAAATAAATTAGATAAACTGGTAACTTTTAAAATTACAATAATGAGCCCCTCCAAGGGAGCCGAGGATATGAAATAAATCTGAAATAGTACACAAATGTCCCGACAAAACAAGCGACGAAAGCAAACAGATCTACAGCTCTAGCTGCGGGGAGCAGAGGGGCAACTCACTCTGTCCCCAGGTCATGGGAGGGTGTAAATGTGATGGAATTCTTCTCCCGCCCAGAGAAAGAGATGTCATTCCTTCAGGAGTAACACCTCAAGACATTATTACGTTTGCTCATGTCTGTATAAATTCCTCTATGAACTGTGATTCTTGATCAGGAGGGAAAATAATTAGGTTAGGGTAGGTAATTGTTTTGGCAATATTCCAAAAAGCAGTAGACTAATGAATTTGTCATCCTTCAACGAGAAGAGCCTAAAATGACTGTAAGTGAGTATCGGTGTGAATTGTTTCAGTTCACGAGGAGTTCAGGAGTCTTTATTTTCAACATCCATATTTTGATCCATATTTTGATCCATATTCTGATCCATATTTTGATCCATATTTTGATCCATATTTTGAAATTTCTCGGAGACATCAGTGACGATCCTTCTATCCCAAAAAAAATGCAATACGAAGATCTTATGACGTTTTCTGCTTTTTTTAAACGTTTCAGCCAGTCACCAGGTTCAGAGAAGAGGCAGGTGATGTCGTGATGTCATGGTAACAGAAAAACAGGAAATATGGAGAGATCAAGAGATGTTGCCATGGTAACGACGGTTCAATATAATAATATATAATACTGTTAGTAAGAAAAATCTATGGAAGTATAATAGTAGAAAGGTTTAAGAATGAAATATCAGTAAATATAACTGTGACTCACAGGAATAACTTTGAATCTGGAATGAGCGTTAGAGACTGTCTCCTTAGCAACAGCAGCAGGAGCCGGCTCCTTTTCTTTTGGTTGCTTAGCAACGCTCTGTGACTTGGCAGCTGGCTGTTTGTACGCTGTGTTCTCTTCAACTGTTTTCTGATCGGTGTCCTAGAAGTTAACATCGTTCAAGGTATCATTGATGAGGATTGCTGCAGTGTGCCATTTGCTGCAGCGGTGAACAAATGCGACTGAACAGCCGCATATCTACTTTGCAAGTTCAACAGACTAATCCTCGACAGGATGATTGTCTAATATAGTTGACGTAATAACAAATAATAACAGTAGATTATACTCCCATAGATTATATAACAGTAGTCAGTAGTGACTATAACAGTAGTCACTAGTCAGTAAAATATGATAATACTCACAGTAGACTCAGACTCCTCGCTGCTATTACTGTTCGTGTTCTCTGCTTGCTGTTCTCTGGCCATCTTCAGGACTCTGCCACACATCTCTATGAAGATCTCAGAGTGGTTCTTGTCCAGATGCTTCTTGTCTATCTGAAATGTTAAAAAAAGGTTAGCTGTGTTTTCTAGGCATTAAAAAACAACAGTCAAGTTTTCTGGTGATTTGAATAGCCGTTAGTTTGCTTTGATTCCAATTACTTTAAATCTTTCTGTCAGATTAGCAGGCAATTACCGCTGGAAATGGAGGTAAGAAAGAGTTAATGAGGTTCATTATAGGACGTGCCACTTGCAGTGCGAGTAACCAAAACATTCCAATTCTCGCGGCACACGTGACATATCTCACTTGGTATTTTCACACACATTATGTCAGAAACTTAGTCTCGACTTTCAAGTAGTCTTTTAAGTTAACTCTCAAGTAGATTCCAGGAAACCGGGTAACCAGGTAACCAGGTAACCAGGTAACCAGGTAACCAGGTAACCAGGTAACCAGGTAATCAGGTAACCAGGTAACCAGGTAACTAGGTAACCAGGTAACCAGGTAACCAGGTAACCAGGTAACCAGGTAACCAGGTAACCAGGTAACCAGGTAACCAGGTAACCAGGTAACCAGGTAACCAGGTAACCAGGTAACCAGGTAACCAGGTAACCAGGCCAGGTAACCAGGTAACCAGGTAACCAGGTTACCAGGTAACAACACTAGCCACTGCACTATTCACACTCAGACCTGAGTTTAGTCATTTTCTGATACGAGATTGGGGACGGGTTCTATAAACAAACAAACAAACAAACACTAGCCAATAGACTAGCTTCGCTGGGTTAACAGTGTTGCAATTTGGTGAGAAAGAGATCATCTTTGAACTACTTTCATGAAACATCCAAACAATAGTCTGTAAAATTAAAAACTATTGACCAAACCAAAGATAATAATAATCACCATATTCCACTAAATGTGACCACAAAAACACCAATCTAGGCTCTTACTTTTGATAGACTTTCCGCAGACTCCATAAATTTAGATTTATAAAGGCTTAAAACTGAACAAACATTATCAAAACTATCCATCGCTCAACTAGGCTCAACATCAGCTTCAACTAGCTCGTTGTTATCACGCAACTTTAAACGTGGTCCCACCATGCTAAAGATCACGCAAAGTACAGGTAATATCTATAGATTTTACACTTATTAATGCGGATATATTGTGTGCACTATACTATAAAGCACATATTTTCATCAGCACATTCATTTACTCTGCGGGGCTGGCCGGGACAGCATGGCGCTACTATCTTACTATATATAAACTGAAATTTCTTTTTGAAAATTTCGATAAGAGAATCAGAATTGAAGAAAAAAACAATGAAATTAATTAATTTGGGCTGTTTGTACTTTTCACATAACTGAATATATAAGTTTCACTTTTAATGGTAATGTTTTAAACATCATCTATTGCTATTACAATTGTATTTGTTTTAATTAGCAAAAGTACAACACAACGAAACAGTCGAAAAAGTTGGCAAACTAATGGCTATACTGTACATCAAAACAAGGATACGGTTCTAATAGAATTAGGAGCTAATCTATTAAATTAATTGATTCAATTAAAACAATTAGAATAGCAATACTACAATTTTGTACACATAACTGATAACATTGTGTATTAAGTCAGGGTGTTTTCTAATGTATTCAGACGACATGTTCCAAAATAGGCCGCCCAACCCAACAACCGCATTCAAATTTAGCAGATAATATGGACAGAGTCAGTTATATGCGTTACTGTTTTCTTAAACTTTTTTTACCAAACTAATTATATAAAGCTAAATTAGGAAATTTAGTTGCGCGGAAAAAGTTTCCTATAAAGACATGTCACGTGGTAGGCATTACTATACGCATGATTACATTCATTTATTATATATGGGCATAGTGACTGCATACTAGAAACCAGGCATTAAAACTTGCCAAAAAACAAACACAAGTCATGAAATATCACGAGTCATGAAATATCACCGAAAAAAAATTCCTAAAATTAAAACGTACCAGATTTTTGGCCATGTCCTGTGGTGTAGTGTTGTAATCCACCTGCATACTGATTGCCTTAGCCTTGGAGGTGATGAACTCAAACGCTAGCATACCTTCCTTAGTGACCTCTTTGAAGGTGATAGAGGTTGTCTCTCCTTCTGTACAGCTGAAATAGTGGAGGTTAATCACACTGGTAACTGACGGCGGTGGGGTATAATTAATTATTAGGGTAATATGAGCGACGCTGTGAAACTAGGGGGGGGGGGGGGGGGGGGGAGAGGAGGGGGTTTACGGCTGGATACAGCGGAAATGCTGTTTTGGAAGGATATTTCACTGTGTCATTAAGTTATTATTACAGGGCTTTTTAGAGTTGTTCTAGTGATTAATCCAACAATCCGTTAGATTCCGATTAAGAGATGTGAAATGTGGATCTACTGACCTGGGGAGGTGAACTGTTCAAAGCTTAAAACATGACAACGACTGACCAATCAGCTACCAAAATTGAGCAATTAACCCCGGATAACTGTCAAGTTTAAAATACGTGTGGTCATTTTAGTACGTACATTTTGTCACGTATAAGATATCGATAGTATTCTAAAATCTAATTTAAGTGTGGTATTCTTTCCCAAGACAGTAGCGAGTTGTATTGTCCAGGGGGGTCCTTAACTTCACTACTACTAAGATTAGAATATTTTATTTGTGAGCAGAGTTACAGCTGTAATTAGAATTTAAGGACTACCCAGGATTGAACAAATGCCAAAATCTTAATATTGATAGAATTAAAGTATAGGTTTTATTCCATTTAGAAGATTTTTTTCTCAAAATGTTGAATAAATGCAGGATCACACAGATGACACTGAGGTTTTATAATATACCGAGTGAAAGGATTACAGCAGTCGGAACTTGGCCTTAGTCTTTGAAATAAAACCAGACTTCCAGTCCTCACGTTAAACAATACAGCTAGTTTCATTGTGTTGGATTACAAAAGACTAAAAGCTATAGTCAGACGTTTTCACTGGCAAAACGATGATGTATTGTTGCGCGACAGTTTTACTATTGTATTACAATGCAAAGACAGAAACTGCACACACGTTGAAATAAGTGCAGGTAGGCAATAGACTTACCATGGCACCATGCTTCTGGTGCACTATGCTCTGTGGCTGGGCGACGTCCTGGGGCTGGATGACGGTTACCATCCACTAGTGTTAAACTTACACTTTCAATTAACTTACGATTAACTTACAGTTTAACTTGAAATTAACTTACGCTTAACACTTGCAATGAGAGACCAAGTTATACCGACTAAGGCTCTTACTATTTAACAAACAAGGCTAACTTACTTCAATGTTCAGCGATAATTCTGTCAAAGTGTTTAAATTACACTTACACTTAACCAACAATTAACTTACACTTAACTTACAATTAATTAACAATAAGCTTACACTTAACTTACACTTACAATGACCGGCCTGGTTAAACCGACTATAGCTCTTTGCCCTCCGATTCCCTCCTGTCCCAGCTCCGTAGGTAGGCACAGTGGACAGAAACATCTTCAGCTTCTGCTCTGGAAGCGACATTCCTGCTCCGACGTCACTGCTGGACGCTGGTGGGTTATGACGTCACACTTGATAACGTATGACGTCACGAAGTATCAACCATCCAACAATCGATGTACTCTTCTCGTCCCTCGGGTTCTTTGTCAGATGTTCAGTGAGAGATAACACACCCAAAATGTACTGGTTAGTCTGGACACTTTGGCAGGTTTTTCCTTTCTAACCCAGTTTATCTTCAGATGTTAGGTATCTTTTAAACAGACTGTCAGAGCCGGCCAGAGTCACGACTAACTTCTACTCATAGTGCTGATTCAAACAAATTTGTACAATGAAATGAATGTAGTGTGAAAAAGAAGGCCGATGTTCCAAATGTGCACGCCTGAAGGTGCACTAGGGGACCTTAAGGAGTGTACATTTGAGACATCGTTCTTCTTTCATACGACCGAAATAGCATCAACAGTAGTCTATTATACCTTTATACCAATATCTAGTCGAAAAAGACTATTTCGCAAAAAAATTGTAATATCGAGAGATCTAAGATGTAAGTGAGATATACTACTGAAAGTACTCAATGAAAACCTGGACTCGTGCCAGCAACTTAGCACAACAGCAACAGAATATTTTTATTTATTTATATTCAAAATTGGAGGTCATATTATAGTTAGAAAATTGTTTAGGCATTCCAAAAATCTGCCGGAAATTCTTCCTAGTTTGCTCCTTCATTAAGATATTTGCCATTGAGATTTAGTATTCTCTGGTGTTGGGCCATCCTTGGTTTGTGGATTGGGTTGAGACCCACTGGCCCTAAACCTATAACGTAACCATATGAATTAGCCTGACAGGACGTCCTAGGGTACCGATGGGTATTGTACAGTGTACTGGGGTTCCAAAAGTACTGCTCAGAATTTAACATAATTTTAAAATGTTAGCCCTTTGTAGAGTTTTTCAATTGACAGGGGCAATAATAAACAAACTAGGATACTAATCATACTAAACGAAACAGCAGAAAAAAAGCAGATGTGACCGTTGGGGGTCGAATGGCCACTAGCCGAGGGACTTTAAAAATATACAAGTTGGCAGAAATTCAGGAAGGGAAAGTTTGGGAAAGTTCAGGAAGGGCAAACTTTGACAAACCGAACCAATCCAAACGCCTTACTCTTCGAGTCAGCGGTAGCAACGTTAAGTGTTCTAGGGTAGGTTATAGTTAGTTCCAAGTGAGAATTACTGAACTTAATGAAAGCGAAATGAGAGGGAAAATTTTAGTTCCGGCGACCTAAACCTATTATGATAATCGATCTTACCAACAAAATTAGTCATGAATTATAGGAGAAATTTTGGAGAAATGTGTGGGAAAGATTCGATGCATGCGAGAAAAATGGCACGTTATTACTTATTAATTATCCTTCGGCATCATCAGAATGGGAAAGGAACTAAGTTTGCAATCTAGTGTAAAAAGAGTATAATGACCGTAGCAGTACACAAGGAATTAGCTTACTCACAAAAAATTAGATGTAGTCACATAATATGAATAAAATGCGAAATTATGTGTAATATGTGTATAACAACACAGTGCAGGTGTTTCACATACCAAGTGTCTCAGTCAACTCAAACCGTTACAGTATTGCAAATATGTGCTGACTATGGAAACATTCCACTCTAATCCACCAGGTTTTGTTACGGTTTACTGAATATAATATACACGTATAATATACAGAATTACAGCACAAAGCAGGCCAAACTCTGCCAAACACACACGTCACTAAACAGAGAAGAAAAGGAATTATACGCATCAAGACGCATTAAGAAGCAATTTACATTTCACTAAACAGTAAACACACAGATTAACAAAACAGTTACTAAAACACACACAGCAAATAATAAAAACAATATGTTCCACGTACAATATAATGATCAACTTGTTGTTAAGATCTGAAGCGGTGTTAAGTGCCCAGCGGCTCGTTATTCCTTACATGGTATAATTACCAGTTCCACAATCTTTAACCCAGATCGAAGGTAGTGTCAGATACCATTAATAGAATGATGGTTTTAGAAGTTAGTAAGGGGGGTTGCAAATTTTGGAGCTCCGCTACTAAAATTTTGGAAATCGGTCTAGGTAAATTGATCCAAGTTCAAGGAATTATAATTTGCACTTTAACGGGTAATATCCAGAACACTATTTTACTTCAACCATCTTATCTTACAAGACCAAATTAGAATTAAGGTTAACCTTACAACGTAAACCACACAAAACAATGTATACAGTATAGAGTAAACAGTTGTACACATTAAACTGTACAGAACAGTTAGAGATAGAAAGAGAGAGCAGCACAAGAACAATACACACACTTCACAGACAGATGCATACAAACGTACGCGTAGTGGAGTGTAAAGAAGAAGAAATCACAGCATACATCGTCATTAAACAGACGAGAAAAGGAATTAGACGCATAAAGACGCACACAGACGCATAAAACGCATAACGACACGATTACATTTCACAAACCACACATATTAACCAGATAAACGTGTAGTGGACGACAGTGAAGAAAGCAACGACACATCTGGTGTTCTACCATAATATACCGTGGCCTTATAAGAGGATATGATGAAGTGGCCTGGTAGTGTATCAGGTATCAGGTATCACTCCTGTAATAAAACCGTTACTTTCCCCTCCTAGGCAGGGGGAGGAACTCGTTATCTTGAAAAGGCAGTGTTTTCAGAATGCTGGTATTACTGTGCACAGGCAGACAATTGAGGAATGATGTTGGCATCTACAAATATGTACAAAGAAAACCCACAGATTACACTAAACAGTGAACACACTGTATGATCATGTGTGTTAGTAGACACATTCCCCCTCCTCCCCCCTCTGAGAGGTAATTTGACAAGGCAACCTGTTGGCTCAGTTCCAGATGTATAAGATATCGTATATTTCTCTTGCAATTAAACATGATAAGGAGGTTGGCTATGAGTATTTTAATTGCTTTATCACACTGGTTCCTTTGAAGTTTAATTTAACTAATTAAAGGTGTTAATTGATGGAAAGGGATGAGACCACAGTTCTCACGGAGCAAAGATTACAAACCAAAACGAGAAACAAAACATGGAAAATGTGGAACTTTCTAATTATTTTCACAATCCGTGTGCACGCGAGGAAAATTAGGGCTAATTTTAAAGCCATTCAGGTTACAGAGGACATTCTAGAAATGAGGTTTCTAATAAATGCTGGAAACTTCGCATATTTCCAGGTATTGTGTCCAGAATATTCAGCATTTGTTGCATTAGCTGACATGGATGTCGTAGGTAGGTCAGTTCCCGCTCCAGTTCATTTGCGTTGATGTTCCTATTTCCTTGTTCACTAGTTCTCTAGTTCAGGTGTGGAGTTTCTGCTCGGAATACACGCATCCCAGCAGAAATATAAACCTTATAAGGCTTAATTGTCATTTAATCCATGAAACCCAACCGTCTACTATTCACGTGCGATCTAGAAACCAAAACATTGCTCGAGCAAAAACGGATAACTTAGATAACTGAAAAACACGCGACAAGCATCGATAAATGCTGCAGCTGACACTTATCACATCTAACTCTGATCCATAACAACAAGTACGAGGGAGCTACAGTTTTAGATACGGCAGATATCGTGTGCTTTGAGACGCATGTCTTGATTATATATAGAATATTGTGGTATTTAAACTAAACGCTTGTATAAAGACAGCGTGTGGAGTAAGAGCAAGTGCAGACGATTTTAAATATGTCGAGATATGAGAAATATTTGGTGTGAGAGCTGTGACGTCATGATAATTTGATGGTGATATTTGTGATGTTGGGCAGGGAGTTAATTGGGAATTAATTAAATGAAATTGAAGGCGTGAATTAATTTGTAAACTCTTCGTCATTTGACATATTGCTTGATATGGCAACGATAAACTTTAATGGCAGATATTTTATAGAGTAGGTTTAATAATTAATATGCTTAATTAATAATTTGCATGTTAATTATAATATTATATTAGTTATTGATTTACATTCCCATATTTTAGTGTTCAACTGGTTATTAGCTAGATAAGATACATACGACACAACAAATCTGATGACGTCACAACAAATCTGATGACGTCACAACAAATCTGGTGACGTCACAAACTTACAGTTATAAGTGAGCAGCACTGGTTCAGAGTGAGTTCTGATATGTTTGTGCTGATGAGCAACAGCAGCAGCATCTCTTGTTAATGTCAGCTCTCTAGTCAGGTTCTTAGCTGCTTCCCCCGTCAGAGTTTTAGAGACCGACTCCCGTCTCATTGAGTCCCGTCTCACAAACAATCAAAACAAAAAAACAACCGAAAAATAAAGTTCTAAAAAACAAACAAACGGTAACAATCAGCACACAAATCGTATCAAATCAACAACAAACAATTCCTGCAGTGCAGCATTGAAACCCTTGGTGCAGAAAGCAGGGTGATGTCAGGAGCGACTCATACTCCGTAAATACCAGAAACACGTCACAACTCTTAACAAGACACTCTATGACGAGGAGAGAGAGAGAAGAATTGAACATATCCCCGCTCTCTGCAGTATACGTTATATCCGAGTGTTAGTAGGCGGAACTGAATTGGTGATACCCTGATACAGCACCGGAATTACATTCTATATACAGTCTGAATATTTATAATTCTTGTGATGGTATGTTACATTCGGCTGCACAGTAGAGCTTTGATTTTGTTAGATTTTATTTAAAGTGGATGTTGTATTTGATTTGCAAGGTTTCAGTGTCATCATATTATTGTGTTGTGTTTGTACATTGTGTTAACAGAACAAATTGTTTGTAATTCAGTGTTTATATTGTTCAGGTTTTATTAAGTTAAACTTAAAATATTGTAATTTAAAGCATAACCTTACATTTAAATTTTAAAGGTGATAATTAAATTAATTGTAATTACCTGTTACAAACTATCTTATAATACTTTTACATATTTACCTATTTAATATTTTGGAGATGTATGACTGTTTATGCGAAAATAGAACTCATAATAAAACTTAGAGGCTTCTACCCCAGTATAGTAATATACAATACTTGTCATAAGAAGTGACATGACGTCACACAATGATGTTATGTCGCCATTACCATGATGGTATGACGTCACACCACATGCGATGACGTCACACCACAAGCGATGACGTCACACCACGTGACTTCACTAAATTACCTTTGGACTGTTTCTCCCTGTTGACGGTGTCCTGAGTAGCTGGAAGGCTGGTCTCACTGCTCTGCTGTGTGAGAGTACTGGCGTGACTGACAGTTCCTGCTACCGGTACTGGCTCTTCTACCTGCAAATCATACTGGTAAGTTACGATGCAATATAATACTGGTTATAAGGGGTGTTTTACCTGTTATATGATAAGAAAGATGGAGAGCTATGAAGATTATCAGATAAAATAGCAGCATGGGAGTTAGGTTATGTAAGGTTTGCTGCAACGTCTCAAGAAATGAAGTAATTAAATCATTAGTCCAAATTGAATTTAAATGGATTTAATGTCATGCAGGCATATCTAACATACCAAGATTTGTATTTAGTAGACATAACAACACGAATGCACATTTTATCAGTAGCACTAACTTTACTAACCTCAGGTTGGTCTATAGTTTTAGCAGGGTCTCTAGCGACATCAGTTCCCTCTCCCTTCGCTCTGATACCCTCCTGAAACAGATCCGTGTGACAAATAGTAAATCAACTCAACCATGCGACAGCACTGCATTCCAGTGCGAAAAACTATGTAAGAATGTAATAATTATGAATTGAACCATGAATTATTACCCCTCTCTTATTTGGCGGCCTCTAAAATAACCACAACGTGTTCTAGTAATAATATGTCTCCTGATATAATTATGCTTGTGCTCAAAGTGTGGGCCAATTGCAAAATAAAACTCACACCATGTGACCTGTTTTCACCCATTCACACAGTGCGACCTATCTGTGACGAGAGTCACACCAGAAAATAAAGTAATGTGATAACGAGATAAGAACGTTGCGTGATTTATTAGCCAGTGTGAACGAAAAATTCTGCGTGGCTATTCTTTGCTTGACCATTGTCTGCATAATTTGAAGCTTAATTTTTGGACTTAGTAGAAATATTTTACCTTTGCCTAAATGACTAGTAGTAAGACCACTAAGTTTTATTGTGGGCTACTTATAAATCATTGGAGGTTGGCGTTCCTCGCTCATCGACTGTGATATCTATTTAATTAATTCAGTACAATTTTGCGTTTATCATTTACACATGAAATCAAGAGTTTGACACTTTTGAATTTGAAACTGAAGAATATACACTCGGACTCTCGATCTCATCAAGATTAATTGTATCAGGAATAAAAAAGGTGGACTTTTGCTTTATAATCAAATCACTGGCATGATTAAAAAATACTACTATATTCATTATTCGTTACATTACAGGAAATGGCACGACCGCAGAGCAACATTGTAATAACCGTTAGGAACAGTATGGTATTAACTTTCAAAGACATGGATCCTATTCTAGTAAGCAAACAGTTGCTTGTTGACAATAGCAGTGTGTTCGCCTTCATCATTCTGGAATGCTGCCAGTCCGAACATGATATGAAAGACTTTACCCCAAATGTTGTCGAATTGTTTCTTACAATGTTAAAAGTAAAAAAAGTGGAACAAATTGAAGAGTCGGATTTTAAAGAATTACATAAGATTTCGACTGTCTACGATGTTAAGTGGCTCATAAAATCATGCAGGCATTGGCTCTTAGAAAAAATCAACAATGTAGAAGTTGAAATAAATTATGACTCAATGTTTTTCCTTTTTGAGGAGTGTTTCTACATCAGGGACAAAAGGATTTCGCGGTGATTTTGGCCAAAAATCGCGGCACCGCGACAAGCCAAACTAGGCTAATTCGCGGCTAATTCGCGGCGGGAATTTCGAAAATCGCGGCATATTCGCGGCAAAAAATCGAAAAATCGCGGCGAATTCGCGGCAAAAAATAATGTATTTACAGTGCTTAGTTAGAGTTCACATATTCTTTGACTATTCTATTTGATCGGCTCATGTCCCATGAGGATGTGATCTCATCATATCATCTGATACAGGCTGATGGGGGTCCATAACAACAAGAGCTGCCATAACTTTTGACATGATCTCAAATGTTGCAATGTCATACGTACTGTATGACATATCTCGTATCGATACTATATAACTTTCAACAGACGACAGGAGACATCATCATTCGACCATCTACACTTCACAACTATAGCAATGGAATACTACGAACTTTTCAATCCAATTCCCATATCTCTACCTACGTAGTCTATCCCCATCTAGTATCCAACCTTTACCCCTTGAAGCTTACATCAACCTGGACGACATCCTTACCCCGGCCCCCTGCACGAACCTTCTAGAAGTTCTAACCACATCCCGAGGGAAGCCCATGATTGTTCCTTATGTGGTCTACGACGAGATTACATGCTCTACAAAATAGCTTCCCATTGTCAGCATAAAACGATGATTCGCCAAATTCAGCCACTCTCGTGGAAGCTGTTAGTGTGTTACATTGCCCTGTTTAGCCTGTTTCGAGCGTTTGCTAGACGAAGGTCCAGCCGGTTTGTCGGCAGGCCGTTTGACAAAGCGGTCCATTATAACAAGCGAATACAATACCAAGCGAATAACGATGACGTTATCGATTACGAAATATCTGACAAGTGACGATTCAATAACAACACTGATTTAACATACTGTTCGATTTCTTAATCCATTGTATGTCTTCTGGTCAACTTTATGTCGTTTGGTCAAGTTTTTTATGTCTACTGGTCAACTTTATGTCGTCTGGTCAACTTTATGTCGTTTGGTCAAGTTTTATATGTCGTTTGGTCAACTTTATGTCGTCTGGTCAAGTTTTATATGTCTACTGGTCAACTTTATGTCGTCTGGTCAAGTTTTATATGTCTATTGGTCAACTTCCATATACGATCTCGGAAGGCAGACCTCCCCTTCGCAATACGAGCTCGGAAGCGGGAGCTCCGCCTTCAGAGGTACGTATCGAGAATGACTCGGACAGAAAATTTTGTAAGTCAAAATTTTTCAAAGTTTTTCTGGAAACTACTTTTGTTCATGTTTCATGCTACCCTGATCATTATGAAGTTATGAGCCGAAGATATTTTTTTCGGTTTTCAAAGTTCACTCATACCCTTCGATACACGATTTTGGACTCGAGGGCTCCCCTTGTAATGCGATCTCGGAAGGCAGGCCTCCCCTTCGCAATACGAGCTCGGAAGCGGGAGCTCCGCCTTCAGAGGTACGTATCGAGAATGACTCGGACAGAAAATTTTCTAAGTCAAAATTTTTCAAAGTTTTTCTGGAAACTACTTTTGTTCATGTTTCATGTTACCCTGATCATTATGAGCCGAAAATATTTTTTCGGTTTTCAAAGGTCACATACCCTTCGATACACGATTTTGGACTTAAGGGCTCCCCTTGTAATGTGATCTCGGAAGGCAGGCCTCCCCTTCGCAATACGAGCTCGGAAGCGGGAGCTCCGCCTTCAGAGGTACATATCGAGAATGACTCGGACCGAAAATCTTCTAAGTCAAAATTTTTCAAAGTTTTTCTGGAAACTACTTTTGTTCATGTTTCAATTTCATGCTAGTACCCTGATCATTATGAGCCGAAGATATTTTTTTCGGTTTTCAAAGGTCACACATACGCTTCGATACACGATTTTGGACTCGAAGGCTCCCCTAACCCCTTGTAATGCGATCTCGGAAGGCAGGCCTTCCCTTCGCAATACGAGCTCGGAAGCTCCGGAAGCTCGGAAGCTCCGCCTTCAGAGGTACGTATCAAGAATGTACCTACAATCGGAACTCACGGAAGGCTGTAAATGTGATTAGTTTCATATAGTTATACTTAATACTTGTAGAAAATGTGACATTTGGCCCGCAGATTTTATGGAAAATACGCAAACTTGGTTCTAGATTTAAAGGAAAATGCGCAAATTTGGTCTTCAGATTTAAAGGAAAATGCGCGATTTTTCGCGGAGGACTGAAAAAATCGCGATTTGTCGCGGAGAATGGGAAATTTCGCGATCTGTCGCGGAAAACGTAAAAAATCGCGATTTGTCGCGGAGAATGGGAAATTTCGCGGTTTCGTACATGCCGCGAAATCCTTTTGTCCCTGTTCTACATTCACAGTAAATGGAATGTGACCAGATTTATGGAGACACTGATTTTAAAGGTACGTTTCAGGGACAACTCTCAATTCCTGTTTCGATACCTGAGAATGAACTACGATCAACTCAGCAACGATCAGTTGAAGTTCTTGCTGTATCTAGCTGGTTGCAGCCCAAAGGTATTTCTGGAGTTTATATTTGAACGTATATACAGTCAAGAACATCTGGATGATCGTACTAAATACTTGTTGCAAAAGATTAATTTGACACTTTGTCTGGAGAAACATGATCAGCTGTATCACGAAGTATCAGAGAGATTGTCAGAGATGGGAGGTTTGACAAAAGAAGATCTTAGAATGACACTGAAGCTGGCAAAACATGCTTCTAGGGAGGCTGGTGATCGCAAAAAGGTCATT